AGCTGCCTCTATATATTTGAGAAGGGGTGTAGGCAAAGGAAAATTTGAGCAAAATAATTATGTTTCTATTAACAGAGTCTTGGGGTTTGGAGGGTTTTGGGGTTTGTTTTGAACCAGTATAATTACAGTGACACCAAATGCAGCTGCTCTGCTTATATCAGCCTCTGATACGGCCCATTTTTTAAAGGAGCTGTGTTTCTGCTACTTTTGCAAACATTCTGCTTTGTTTGTTATCATGAATTATATAGTGTTCTCTGGGTACTTTACAGTTTATAAAATACAAATGAGGACAATTCTTGTGCTTTATTTTATGTACAGAACTGTGTTACTTGAGAATGTAAATGTGTACATATGGATAAACAATTTAATCCTCTGGTATTTTAATGAAGATTCAGCTACTTGATACTTATTATGAGTTAATGCTCTCCAGTTGATCTGAAAAATAAGCATAGCAAGTGGCAGAAGTAATTTAAAGACCAGTATTTTCTGGAGACTCAACTTGTCATTCTCCTGAAACCAGTTTGTGACAACACCAAAGCTTTCCACTGCTGAATGCCCTGGTCGCGGTGATCTGGGATATGCTCCCAAGATAGCGTCCTGGTCTGGCCTCCTCTAACGGGCAAGAAGGAGCAGAGACAGATCCCTGCTGGCAGCAGAGGGTGTCCCTCTTCAGAGGGAAGAGAACGCCTTTGCAGAACCAGTGAAGAGCAGATTTCTGTCGGATTTATACAATACCAGAAATCTGGCAGGCCTCATGACGGTGGCATGTGAGCGCTGTCATCACAGAGGTCCCCGGCTGGGCTTCCTCAACATGTGTAGCTATACAAGCAAGAGCAATGCTTTGTTTGCATCTGGGTGCTTTGTGAGCCCTGTTCTGCAATTAACTGTGTTGTCTGTTCTTGTGCTTGGTTTTCCTTGATGCTACATGCTGACAGTAAGTGCATGTGTGTGATATCTAGGGGATTTTCGTGGCTATTTCTGAGATTTTTCCCCAAGGGTTGCTTAGAAGGTAGAAGATTAATTGATGAAGGGGCGATATGTAGTAGCCATAGAAGAAGATATCTAGAAGGCAGGTCTTAACTGTATAAGGTACTTTGTCAAGAAGCGATTAACAAGCATTTTAGCTATTTGATTTCCTGTGAAAGGGAGGAATCCTGTAAAAAAAAGAGGGTAGACAAAACCAAATTGTTCTTACAATTTAAATTGTCACTACTGAATGAAAATCACTCTGCTTACTGGGCTAGAAGTCTGCTGGATAACCTTGTGGTAACACTTGCACGTTTATTCAGCTCATTCCCACATGTGATCATATGCATACGTTCCCTGTGTAATCCTTTATTAGAAAAGGCAGTGTTGGATTATGTTGAAAGTGAGACCAAATAAACGCGTGTACCTTGAAGATCATCCCCATGTTCAGATAGATGTTGCACAGCCACAGTTCTGAGTTTGTTGATCTTGAGCATTCACTCACACGTGCAGTTGTGCATCGTCAGCTACTTTTGCATTCAGGTATTTAAATGTGTCACTCAGAAGTGAGTGAGATGAGGCTGTGTGTGTTACCTTCCACTCAAACAAGTGATTGAAGCTGTCATATCTACATGTAGATGGTGTTGGTACTCTCCCCACCCCAAAAGCCCTAGCCATCCACATCATGAGCCATATGTACACCAAAAATTTTCGCCTCTTTAAGGGGGAGCGTATGGATAAGGTGCCAGAAGGAAATGAGAGGGGATTAAAGGGGAAGTTTAGCTCAATCTTCCTTCTCCCCTGTGGTTGTGGGTTCCCCCCCCCGTCTTCAGTTAATATTTTAGTGTGCTGAAAACTCTTGCACAAAGACCTTTTAAGCTTCATTTCGCTCCTGGAGGTACAAGTTGTTCATCAACATTTCTGATAACAGTGTTTGATGTGGTTACAATGGGCTAAGCATAAAGGTAAGGCAGTGTTTATAGGAAGGCAAAGCAATGTTTATAGATAAAGGTAATATCTCTTCTAAGACCAATTAGTGAAGTTGGAAGAAGTAGACAAGCTTTCAAGCACGAAAGCTGCAAGGCACAGAAAAGGCTTTTCTTCTTTGGTTTGTTTTTTTTTTTTGCAACTATTTGATCTAGTAGAAAGAAAGTATTGGAAATACCGGAAGAGAAGTTTTTTCAGTGGGAATATATGCTTGAGGGTTTATTCAAAGAAAAACGTATGTTGCTGATGGGGAAGTTAAGACCAGAAATGTCGTGCAAAGGGCAAAGATGCAAATCAACAGGGGGAAATGGCAGAACAACCCAGAAAGGCTTATCTCATGTAATAGTTTCTGGAAGACTCACTTGAAGAACTATTGTAGCTATAAAAAATTATGATGGGTTCCTACAAAGAGGACTCTTTGTTTAGCACAGTGTAGAGTGCAGTTGCTTCAGTGTGGATGGAAACACATAATTGAGTCTAGGAAAAAAAGTGAAGAGTCCTTCGTCAGGTTGTTTTGTGGGAAACAGTAATCTGTGAGGATCCAGCATAGGATTTTATCATCCATTAGCTTTCTACACGTGAAGCAACGTAACAGAAAAAGAAGTTAGAAGTGGTGACTCTAGATCATTCTTGCTTACATGCAATCAAGTTGTTAAGATAGTACATTGCCCTAATACCGTAAAGATACTTAGCCCAGGAGAGATTGAAGCAGAGGTGCTAATTTCGTTATGTATGGCATTCATCACACTTAACAGCCTCATTCCTCATAATTTTCTTCCTGAACATGCAGCATAACGACATGAAGAAAAGCCTTACTTTCAGATATCATAGATACCACAGTATGGATAATGTCAAGATCTTTCAATCCACAGTGTCCTACAGTTGAGAAAACTGCAAATACTTCTCTTGTCATTCTGTTCTTCAGTGAGGATGAATGTTCTTTGTACCACTGGATATTTGCAGTGGTGATTTCTTGTACATTTACAAATGCCTTTCATGCAAGGTATACACTGCCAGCCCTTGACTTTGTCTTTTGGTGGCTGTGGGATTGGGATAAAGACATTTTATTGTGGATACCAAGGCACAGCTGAGTCTTCAGAACATATCTTAGACCAGTTATAGTTAACATCAGGAGATTGCTTTTGTCACATTATTTGCTTTTAGATCCTTAGATCACTTCCAGAACTGAGGTATGCAGTTTCTGGAGTCTTTGGAAAGATATGACTGTGCAGAAAGGAAGAGAAATAAGCCAAGTTCTTGTGTCCCATTTGCCTCACACCCCTCCACTCCCCAACACATCTTTGCATAATGACAGCTGCATTACATCCTCAGAAACACTCGAGTTGACCTGATAAAGACCAAAGGGAAGGCAGAGTTATATTTGTACTTCAGTGGGACTTTCCCAGCATTGATTACTGATTCTCTCATCCCTCTGGCACTTCTGAGCAATGGTAGTCCCCTCGCTGCTGCCAGACGCTCTGTAAACAGTTGTTCAAACACTTTGTTTGAAGGCTGCCTCATAAAAAGAAGTCCCAGTGTTCAGCGTTTGCGTGCCCTCAGTTTCTACTGGAGAACTCAGCATCGCCTACTAGGGGCACTTAGTACTTTTTTTGGATTTGGACCAACATCATCTCATCTCTTTTTGCTATGTGTTGATCAGAAAGAAGTCAGAGAGCTTGCCATGCTGCTGTTGTTCTCATATGACAAATATTGTGGGAGCTGCACTGTTGGCCTTTGGGAGGTCCGGCACTCCGCTGAAAGAAACAAGGAGACTTTACATGTTGGACAAAATCTGGCATTTTCAAGTCTGCTTTTCTGCTTAATTATGAAAAGCCTAATTTTATCATGATGACATAATTTCACACCTCTTTTGAAATATTTTTCTTTACATGTATTACACAGTTTCACCATTGTTTTATTCCACCAGCATTTGCTAGATATGAGATTGGTCTGGGCTGAGAAAACAGAAGGAAACAATGAGACATTGTCAGTTACTCATTTGGAGATGGATTTGAATGGCTGAAGAGAGGAAGATCCCAAACCAATATATGAAGTTGAACATCTGGCATGCCAGAAGTTAACAAAGTGATGTTATCGTATGGTATCTTGATCGGAGGTGACTTAATGTTGCATGGCATTCCAGCCTCCTGCATCACAAAACTGTCAACATAATGATAACCAGGAAAACAGAAACCTGTTAGCAGCCGGCAGCCTGGTTGGTTTTGTCCTAGAGTTAGGGTAAATAGTAGCAGGCTATGCCTGTATGTGTGAAGGCACTCGGTGTATTGTTCAGATAGGGGAGGACTGTGGGCATATGAAATTCTAGGCTCACAGTGCTGTGTCTTGGGTTCCTTTTGCACAGATATTTATTTTACTGTATGGTCAGTAGGAAGCTTGGCTGAAACTTGACACAAATACAGCTGGCATCAGTGTTTGGATAAAAGCAGCATCACCTTGTTGTACAAACCCATGTGTGGCCACAGTTCACGCCAGGCTGGCCCTGCACACCCCCAGGTTGCCTGGACGGACAATAAGTTTTCATCTGTTTACTGTATGACTAGTACCTGAATCAGAAGGAAGGCTGGGAGCATGAGTAAAGCAATGCCATACAGATGAGCTACGGGTGATCAGTATCTTCAGAGTACAGATACATTGTACAGGCTTCACTTTAGCACGTGATACTATGCTATTACTGAAGAAGGTAAAATAGCCTCTTCTGATGTTCCACTTACTATGATCTCTTGACCACTGATGTTGCAGGGCAAGTTTTTGTGGCAGTCTTTCTATGTGGTTTCTCTAAGAAAGGAATGTGGTGGAATGTTTGCTCGGGAGCATAAGCTGATTTCATTAGGGTGTTTTTATATCACTTACCTTTCCCCATTCACCCTAAGAAAATTCTTTCTGAAAATGTGCCCAAATGTACATCTGTTCCATAGAGGTTTGAGCTGTAATAGTTTCTTCTGCTATTTTATAATGTGGGTAGTCCATTTTAATAAAAATCAGGTAAATGTTAACCCATAGGCCATCATATTTGTTGTTTCTTGCAGGTTCTAAAATCTAAAGAATTATCATCACCAGGACAGCGCTACATTGACAGCAAAGTAGTTAAAACAAGAGCTGAAGGAGAATGGTTGTCTTTTGATGTCACTGAGGCTGTACACGAATGGCTGCATCACAGAGGTGACAAGTGCTCTTTGCCTTCACTCCTGCCCTAACTGCTCCTCCATTAACTCAGCAGTATTTCAGGGTCATTCCATATCTAAAAAAGCAACTTACTTTTATGTTTTGCAGACAGGAACCTTGGATTTAAGATTAGCTTACATTGTCCATGCTGCACCTTCGTGCCTTCCAATAATTATATCATCCCAAATAAAAGTGAGGAGCTTGAAGCAAGATTTGCAGGTAATGAAAGAAAAAAAAACTTTTTTAAAATGTTGTGGTACTTACTAATGAGGAGGGAAACAGCCATTACTGCCTTTCCATATAGCATTCAGCTGGTTGAAAACTTGTTCATTTGAGAATTTGGATTCTCAGCTGGTAGGAAATGGCATTGAAGGCACAAGGGTAAAACCAGCAACTGAACTATTCCAAAACCAGGTGGCATGAATAAGCCATCGCCTTCCATGAATGCATCTTCTATGTCCTTAAGTGTCTGTGTTACAGTTTGCAGCATGCACACCAGATGCACTGTGGGGTGTAGGGGAAGGCTGTTACACAGTAGACAATCCGCTGTTGGCTAGTCATGAGAAAACTTGCTGAATCCTTTCAAGATAAACACTTTGACTGCTGTCCATCCTAGCACTGTAGTGGTTCAAGCTTAGGACAGAAGGCTGTTGCTGGAAAGTAGAGTTAGGATGGTGTTTAGCACTCATGTAACTGCTTGCAGTAGATAGCTGTGTGAGAGTTAGGTGTTAATTTGAGTGTTAAACGCAATTGAGTGAATTTGAGTGTTAAATAGTACTCCTTGTGTGGCAAGTTTCCGAAGTACAGGTAGGGCAGCAGCTGGCTGCTTTGTTTACAAAGCACCCTCCTTTGTCCTTACTGAGTATAGGGGGTCACAGTCTTTGTGAGTACCTGCATATGTACTTGCAGCTCTCCCACTATCTGTAGCTGCTCTTGGATTTGTTGGTTTGGGCTTTTCTCTGATCATAGAAGTAATATTTTAAATTACTCCGAGCAATGGCATCAGTCACTTTGGGAAGAGCTGAACAGTAGGTTCTAGACGTGTATAAATGTCCTGCACTGTTCTACTGCCATTCTACTGCATTGTGAGGTTGAAGAAACAGCAATGGTATGCCTGTCTGTGTGCTCCTACTTCCAGTAGTGGAAGTCTGATTTTCAGGTGAAGTCAACAGAACTACGTTAGTTAATATCGATTATCTCTATATATCTATATTGGTGTGTAGAATTTATTGCAAGATATCGGTATGTTAGTTATACACAGTATATTTTTATGCCGACAGCTTGGTAAAAAAATTGGATTGAGTGGGCATTAAAAAGTAAACAGTGTGTGGTTAGGGTTATGGTTATAAGTGCTTCTTATGGACAGCAGACAAGGTGATATAGAGTAAATATATCAAGTTCACATAAGCTCCCTTGTGTTTTTAAGCCATTAAATTTTCAGTTTCAAAAGGAAAATGTTATTTAATTGACCATGCTGTAGTTAACCATCCACCAGTACATATAAAACTACGGCAATATTAGAACCCAAATTCTGTTTATGCAGTTCTCATTAAGTATATCATGATTTGGTTCATTTGTTTTCCAATGATTTGGCTATATTATTCATCAAGTATTAAGCTTTTCTAGCCATTGTTTCACTGTATTGGAATTTTTCTCTTAAGTAAATACATGAATGTATGATTAAAGCCATCATGTGTATTTAAAAACTTTTTAGTATTATTTAGTCACTGTAATTGCAAAAGTTACAAAATCAAAAGTGTATCTTTTTAAATAACATCTGGTTTAGGAGATTAATTTTCAAAAGGGTCTTAACAACAGGCATAACGTGAGCTGTGAGCTTTTGCCTGTGCTATTGCCATGTTCAAGAAGCTAGTAAGGCAGTTAGTGTTTCAAGAGAAAATACAAAATGTGAGGTCATGCACTGACACTTTAAGAAGAAATATTTTGATCAATGTTCTTGCCATACCCATACAAACGAAGGGGCTAGAATAACTTTCTGGGGAAAATTAGCACATTTATATAACCTGGCAATAGGAGACAGGGAATTTACAAGTGAGATTGAGAAAACTGATGGACGGAACTGAGCAATGGGAAATGCAGGTGAAGTATCCAGAGCAGCTTTAATGGTGTTACAAGGTTTTCAAGGGTGCATAGCTGTTAAAAAGATGGGAATATTGCCCTAAGTGAAGTTGCACAAGCATCATTGCTTTGGGCCATTTGAAACTAAGCAATGCAGATGCAGTGATTGAAATAATCTGTTACTCATTTCAACAGTTCTGGTAAATGTGCTGAAAGGCCATTAAATGGCTAACCAAATGTGGGAGGGCTGAACAATAGATAACATGAGAACTGTGAATATCTTAGGGATCTTGGGTTGAATTTTACCCCCACTTGCCCAGTGAACATGCTGATGCCAGCATTTCTGAGAGACTTTTTTTTTAAGAGATGGTTTATTTAATTTGTGAAGAAAAAGCAACACAATGTTTATCACCAAAATGTATTTTTTGAAGGTATTGATGACTACACATATTCCAGTGGTGATGTGAAAGCTTTAAAGTCCAATAGGAAAAAATACAGTGGGAAGACCCCACATCTTCTGCTAATGTTATTACCCTCCTACAGACTTGAGTCGCAACAGCCCAGTCGGCGGAAGAAGCGTGCTCTAGATGCTGCCTATTGTTTTAGGTAACTATGCAACTATATTCCATATACTTACTCAGTAGTACCAGTCTGTGAGGTGTAATGCTGTTGCTTATAATGTTTCTTTACGGTTGGCATGTATACAGAGCTTGCATCCTCATTGTGGACTCACGGGGTCTATGTGCAGCAAGTATCTGCCCAGCAGTCTCCAGTCAGACAGTGGCAGATGGGGAAGGTTGTGGCCTTAGAAAGCAGAAGCTGAGTTCTATCTGGGATGATTCCCAAACTCATCAGCCCCATAATGACAGCCAAATTATCACCTCTGTTCTGCTCACCTACTTAAAAGAGGCCACTCAGTAGGTCCTGGAGAAAAACACTGGTTCTCCAGGGAAACCATTAGCTATGTCTGTATAAACAAGTCCTGCCATGTCTAAGCATTCAATTTCAGTTACATAAGCTACTGTTTTTGTGATTTGTTTGTGAGTTCCTGGGACTCAGACCTACCTGCCTGCCTGCAAAGCATCATTCAGAGAGCAAGCAAGTGGATTATCTTTATTCCCTGTGTTGTCTTTGTTATGACTGATGTGTTTGTCTGTGTTTTATTTCCCAGGAACGTGCAGGATAATTGCTGTCTGCGCCCACTTTATATTGACTTCAAGAGGGATCTTGGCTGGAAATGGATTCATGAACCTAAAGGATATCATGCTAATTTCTGTGCAGGAGCCTGCCCGTATTTATGGAGTTCAGATACTCAGCACAGCAGAGTAAGTAATATTTTTTCTGTATTTTAGCTTCTATTTTATAACTGCAGGGTGAACTATGTTTCTGGGACTGACATCAACACCAGTGCCCAAAGCTTGTATTTATTGCATCAGCAGCCAAGGATGATGAAACGTGGCCCTTTAGAGTGACTTCAGATGACCTCAAGCTAGCGTTGAAGCAGTAGGAATGTATTGGCCTTGAGTTTTTGTGTTCTTAATGTATTCATTGATACAACATGCAGATGGATTGGATGCTTCTGGGGAGCATGAGGTTGCTGTAGCTTTAGGAGGCTGCCTGAGAAGGGAGCTTTCATGATGGAGAATGAGTGGAAGATGACACAGTAAGTTTGGTCAGCAAAGACACTGAGGGAAGCATTATTAGAGTAACAAAAGGGCTGAGTCACACTACCTGGTTACCACCTACTATGACCTTCAGTTGAATTTCATAAAAATGTACTGATAGATGGACTTTTTTTACTCCAAAATGCACATTCATTTTTGTACTTTGCAAACCTATATGCAAAGGAGGAACCTTGTATCTGAGATGCTGTCATAGTCATCTGAAATGGGACTTCTTATTTTAGGGATTAGATGTGGTATTTTAGCCAACTACCTTAGGATGAGTAGTACTCTGCTGAGAAGTGCTTTTTTCTCTCAACTGTCAATAAGGAAGTTTAGACAGTAAATGCAAGAGGCAGACGTACACACCACAGTTGTCATAAAGCAAGAATTTCACCCTCAGGTCCACATTAAGAATGATGTCTTCCTTTTTCGAGCCTCCCTTAAAACACCAGATGAAAGTCAGCCAGCAGGGAGAACTCTTCGTGTCCAAGGGGCAGTTTGTTTTCCCGTTGTGCTATAAAGCTATGATAGCATGTTCATCCTGAGCTTACAGACTCGGGTATAGATATCTTTTGTAGCTGTCAGTGGCTGTGGCATTGTACTATTAGCAATGTCAGCAGGCAGAGGTGTAAATTAAGTATGTTTCCGTGCTGATGTGGAATAGTAGTGCACACATTTTGGAGCAGCACTTGTTTTTAAAGGAAAGAGGAAGAATAACTGTCATGGTCACAAATACGTGGTTTGGATAGTTGCCCAAGGAGTCAGAAGTTGCTTAATAAAGTAGTTAGTGTTGCTGTCCTGAACAGATCTTCTGTCTCTCTAAGCTGCAAATGTTGTGTTGAAGTTCTAGGAAAAGGTCACTTGGTGTTTGGCAAACACATTAATGGCATCCTCAGAAATGCCTATGCATCATCAGTGGGTAGCCCCACATACTTCCCTTGCAGAGAACCATGTATATGAATCCAACGTGACATAAAGCACCAGCGCTGCTAACTTCACCACAGCTGGATCTCAACAGGAGTAACTGCAGTTTGAGTCCTGGTGCTTGCAGGGTGGCATTAGATGAAGTCAGAAAGGAAGAGCAGAGCTTCTGCTCTGATGGGCTCTCTTTTCTCTTTGCTGCACTTCTAAAGCCAAAATCCTGTAACAGCAAATGACAGTCTGAAGACACAGATAAAAACCGTTCAGTTTCTTCTTTCCATATCAATACAGTGTGTGTGTTTATTCAGAGGGCTATGCTTTCAAGGCAGGCTCCAGGCATGAGGTTTAAGACTATGGATAAAACCTTAGGAAACTCAGGCAGGTCATGACATCAGATTGAACAGAAGAATCATAAAATATGTTAATATCCGGGAATCTTCATACTGCTTCCACTGGGATTTCTCTCAGGCACTGTCGGAGGAAGCGATGCAGAAAGGAATTTGCTCCTCAGTGGCGGGAAGGCATGAGGTGGCTGTCTTAAATCTGTTTTCCTTTCTCCTAGGTACTCAGCTTATATAACACCATAAATCCAGAAGCTTCTGCCTCTCCGTGCTGTGTGTCCCAGGATTTGGAGCCCCTTACCATCCTCTACTACATTGGCAAGACACCCAAAATCGAACAGCTGTCCAACATGATCGTAAAGTCTTGCAAGTGCAGCTAAAGAATACCCCTGAAACAGTGTGACGTGTGTGTATTATAACCAAGGAAAAAAGAAAGAGGGAGCGAGAAGGAAAGAAAGACAAACGAAAACCCAGGTTCATCAGTGTTAAAAAGAAAAAACAAAAAAGGAAGAAAAAAAGTGGTACTAGACTGAACTGTTTGAAAGTTTGTTTTGTTTTTGTTTTTAAACTGGCATCCGAAGCAAAACATTGAAGGCCTTTATCCGACATTTCACCTACACATAGTGTGAGATAGACAAGAAGCAAAGTTAAAGAAAAAAAAAGAAACCTTCAAAAAATAAACACTGGAAGAAATTTGTTAGTGTTACTATGTGAAAGGAAAAAAAAACAGGAAAATCCCATGAAGTGGAGTTGCTGTATCTGTCCCGTGCCTTACTTGATCTCTCTGTATTGTTACGCAATAAGCATCCTACCCATTCCTCTTAGTTGTAGAGTTAACAGTGAATTATTTATTTGTGTGTAAAAACTATCAAATGAACATTTCAGTATCACCATTGGAAAAAAAGAAAACCAGCCAATGAGGACAAAGTGGAGACCAAATAAACTGCCAGAAATGCATATTAAAGCCTAAAGGAACATGAGCTCAAACAAATCAGAAAAGTAATGGTTAGTTTAGTTCCATTAAAATAGAAATCAGTTATTACATTATTGCGAAACTCTGCCTTTAAAATAATTATTTTCCATGCCAGCTGCCTAGAGAGGCTTCTTGTAAGGTCTCGAACCTTTGTTTTAAATACTGAATAATTTACTAATAAAGGACACTCTGTTTCAGTCTCAAAAACAAGTCTATAAGATTTTTTTTTACTGTAAATGATTTAAAATGTCAGTTTAGTAAACCAGTGAAATATTTAACATGTACTGGTCTAATCTTCAGACCTTAATATGTTGCTGTATAGCTATGCTATGGGATTTTTTTGTTCTTTTGGTATATGTAACCATACCTAGAGTATTACAATAGGTGGGTAGTAAAAGCCAGCTTAATTGGAAACATATCTGTAGATCTCTATTTGTAAACTATTAAAAAAATAAGTATGTGTAATGTGTAAATTTTCACCGTATTTTTGTACTCTGTAATACTGTCAGCTCTCATGAGTTTGAATTTGAATTTGGGGCTCTTTTTGATCACTCAGAATCATGTGTTTCCCTCTAGCTGGCCAGTATGAGTAGAGTCCCTATATTTTGACTTGCACTACAAATACATGTTTTATAATAATTGCTATCCATGTGCTTTGTATATTGTTCATCATTATGACATAAGCTACCTGACTCCATTTGTTTTTCTGTTCTATAAAAAGGATGGATTAAAGCAATCTCTCACCTCTCCCCCCTTCCTCTCCTTCCTCAGTTGTTCCCATTTATAACACTTGGAATCACAATGTGGTTTGGATTCCTTGACCTTCTTATTTCATTTCGGCTATAGACATTCAAACAGATGGGCAGGGAGCGAGATGTTGCCAGAAGAGATGTCCCAGCCTGGCTGAAGCGAGGTGAAACCTTGCAGGGAATGACATTCACCACTGTACAGAAGGCTGGTAGGAAGTGTCTTGGCGCAGCTATGCTGCGAGTGGGATCAGTCTGTGGTCAGAGGCTGTGTCCTTGGCCTTGCACACAGCAGGGACTTGTCCCTGCAGTTAGTCTGTGGGACTGATCCCGCTTCTGCTGCAGGGAACAGAGATTTGCCTTTAACTTGGCACGGCAGGCCCCTATAGGCTATTGGTGTGTGTGTGTGAGGATTTGCAGGATCAGACCCGTGATTTTTGCAAGTTTGCCAATTTTTGTTTTTCAATTGAGTTCACATTAAAGCTTCTTTTAAAAAATAATAAAAAAGGAACTTGGGGTTCCCAGGATTTGGTTTTTACACAGGTTTAAATATTATAGGAGTAAAAAAAAAAAAAACAAGAAATGAAAAGTTCCATGTTTATAGTTCATTTAAAAAAAGCTCCAACCTAAATTAGCACAAAACATCTTGAAAAAGGCACATCCAGTTCATTTCACATGACAAATGGTTTTTGCACAGCAGAGCTGGAAAACCACGTTAGAAACATACTACTTGGATGAGAAGGACTTTTTCTGTCATTGACCCGAGTGGTGTCAGGAGGACATTCCTGAGCTTGGTGTTGTCAGCTCCAGTTTTGAGAAGTGCAATGTTCTTTGGCTTCAGCAGAACACTGATGCAAAGCTGAAGGACCGCAGTAGCTTGCATACACGCAGCTCCTCGGGACTTCAGGAGAGCCTGTGCTTATGGCTTAGATGGAAACATAGCCCCACAGATGATCTAATCCCACCCGTTGACTCAGCGCAGAGGAGGAGGTATGTTAGACTTCTGATTTATTTAGTGAGTTGAGATGAACAAGTGAAAAAATCTGTCCTGCTAACACTTGCTTGAGCCAAACTTACTCCAGTGAGAAGATGCACTGAACTCAGTGAAACTCCTCAGGGTAGGAAATACTCTGGATTTTGCTGGATACGGCAGCAAAATTAGTTTTATCAGGTTCAGTACGAGAACTGTATTTTTGTTGGACAGGAAAGGAGACAAGGATGAACGCGTTTTACAGAACATAAAGACGTTTTTGCAATTCCCTGTGGTGGGAATGCAGCTCGAAACAAGTTTTGAAGCTTGAAAAAGTGGAATAGGAGATAGCGTAGTTGTCCAACTATACTCACTATGCGCTGGACGCAGCTGAAAATTTCGGTTTGGGTTTAGAGTTTTGCTCTAAATTTAAGTATAAAACTTTATTTCTCCAAGTCATTACCCCAAGAGCAAATACTTTTTACTTCTTTTTTTTTCCTCAAAATGCACTGATGGTATTTGAAATACTCTGTTATAAAGCTCCTACTTTTTGTTTGATTTTTTTTGTTCATTAGGCATATATTTCCCTTTAATTACCAAGGATGTTAGGCCTGATCCTACAATGTGCAGAACTCATGGGTGAAACTCCCCTCTACAGAGTTGGTTAATGTGAGTCCTAAGCACCACTCAGGTCTGATGTTACTCCCCTTGGATGATACTGAGATGGATCTGCAGCAGGGCTTTGTGGTAGGGGCTTTACCATGAAGAATTGCCACTGTCTAAGCAAAGTCCCTGAGAACTGGTGGGAAATGTTCAGTACCTGGAAAGGTGGGATCCAAGGGGTTGGCTAGGGCTGAGAGGGAATCTTAGCACTTAGCTGGGTGGGGTAGGACAGCCTTTTTTATGTGTTTAGCATGAATATAATTGTATGGTTGGCATGGTTTAAAGAAGAAAAAACCCAAGGAACTTAAAGGACAGCTGTGTTGTACTTTGGTGATCGATTACTCTGTATTTTAACACATTGTATGTCTGTTTTTGTGGTGCTCTAGTGGTAAATAAATTATTTCAATTACATGCTGGTGTTGCTTTCATATGGTAGTGTTCTGGCATAGGCGATTCCGCAGCTCTGGCTCAGTTTAATCCCTGCAAAGCCTGATTAAGTGTGTGATTTTAGTGTGTGCGACCTTGGCGTGGTCCAGCACAGGCTGAGATGAAGAACAGTCATCCAGGGTGAGCGTGAATCACAACTGCTCTAAGGATTGCTTCCCCCTTAGCCACTGCAGTATATGGGTTGGTCTATAGGCAAGAAGTGGCTTCTGCTTGACTGATCTGAGCAGCCCCCACTGTCCCATGTGTGTGCAGGACTGGTTATTGCCCTGGGCAGGAGCGATGTTACCCCACTGCCCTACTGTGCCTGATCTCTCTCCAGAACCATGCTGGCATGGCCCAGGTGCTGTAGGCACTAGTTTGGGGGTCTTTCCTCTCTGGTAGAGGATCTTCTTCCTCATGTCTGTAGTGCTCTGAGAAATGAGAAGCTTGTATGTTTCATGACCTTATAGCAGCCTTCCAATACCTAAAGGGGGCCTACAAGAAATCTGGAGAGGGACTTTGTACAAGGGCATGCAGTGACAGGACAAGGGGAAATGGCTTTAACCTGACTGGGTAGATTCAGATTAGACATAAGGAAGAAATTCTTCACTATGAGGGTGGTGAAACAGTGGCACAGGTTACTCAGAGAAGCTGTGGCTGCCCCATCCCTGGCAGTGTTCAAGGCCAGGCTGGACAGGGCTTGGAGCAACCTGGTATTGCAGCTTTTCCTTACCAGACTTTCTGCATCTCAGGTCACTTAAACAAACAAAACTGATGGGAGGAAGGTGTGCAGGATTGAAACGTCACTTTAAAAGTTAATAAAATTATACATGAAAATGCTTCCAGATCAGGGACTGATGATAAAAAGGAGTGAACATCTGCACTTTCTGGTGCCTTCTCTGGATTCTAAGGGGCGCATACCATTTCTTGGCATAAATGAAAGAATATGTTTATGCCAGATTGTTTAATGTTATTGTGATAAATTATAACAAATGGACTACATGTCCTGTGAATATGTTTTAAGGATGCAAGTTGTGATAAGCATTAAAACCAATCTTATCTGTGATGAATACAGATAAGATACACTCCAGCTTTGCAGTAACCTGCCTTAATTGATTTCAGTGAGGTTATACTAGCACAAAACTATGGTCCTATAAAAATTGCCAGATGCCAGTTTTCATCCTATCTATTTTGTATACCCAGGCATGTGCTTTGGCATGGATGTAATATGCCAGCCCCATTCTTATCCCAGGTAGCCCTTATGCAGTGAGGTGAGAATACTTTGCAGTACTAATTTCTGCTTAATTTCTGAAATTTCCTGAAGACCAGGAGGGTTTGAGGAGGAATGTTGATAGGAAATTCTATATGGGAAAGTGGCTGTGGTGCCTTGTAACTAAAGAGGAAAAAAGTGGAGGGAACATAGTGTGCTAAGAGAGGTTTTATAGCGTGGGGCTGAAAAGATGGAAGCTCTCCCACAATAATGAGATTTATGCAGAATATTTTGATGCTGGGCTCGCCCTTTCCTTTTGCTAACACAGCCTCTCCAGACTTGTATCAGTGAAGCCCTTGCTGCTCTGTTTGAATCGAATTGTGGTTAATAAATGTGGAATATATAGGAAAAAGCCCAAACCATGTAAATGTCTTGAAAATCTTTTTTTAGGCCAAATTCTGCCTCTTAGATCAGACAGAACAGATTCTATGAGGAGCCATGAGTTCTGGAAGAAAATAAACCAAGAGGTTATGTAATTATATGTGGTTATAAAGTAGATGTGAAGTAATGTAGTTGGCTTGTCAGTGGGTATGGGTGTAACAGTAATTTCTTCATCTGTATAAAAATAAAATTAAATGGAACAGAAAGCTGATGAGAACTCCCAATCAAATTCGATATGCTCATTTAATGAAGTAACCTGCTGGAATCTAATACAGAATCCCTGGGGTATAAACCTTTCTTAAAACATATGGTGGTCCAAGAAACAAATATTTCCTTTGAATGCGGTGTAATAGTGCCAAACCAGGATGATGGCAGGAATAGAGGAAGGGTCAGGGGCCACTGATCTCTTGGCACTGTTTGCACATATTGTAGGCAGGTCCCAGTTAAAAGATCCATGCAACTCACAGCATTTGCCACAAGAAAGGGAAAAAGGAAGATACAAATGGCAAATGGGACCTGATTATAGCGCATGCAAAGTGTACATGAAATACATGTACTTCACTTTTTGTTCAGTGAAGTACACCATGACTGAAAGGAGTTCTTACAAACTATTTGGTCCAGCTAACTAGGGAGGGATCAAACCAAAATGTTAACATGTGAGTACACGTTCAAACCTGAAACACTCCTATAGGATTCAGTTGGGTCCAATCCCTGCAACTGGTTCATAACCAAGCTTTAATCTTCAGATTCACTGCTGGGGTGTGTAAGGCTCTGAGCTTAACACGCCAGAACTTCTTGCACTTGAATAGCTCTGAGCATGCCAGATTCAAGCCTCACAGAATAGCCTTGTATTTCTTTTTTTTTCCAAAGCACAAAGTTGTATAAATGGAATTGGCATTAATAGTAATTGCAGCCAGGGACAGTCAAAGTGTCCCTACAGTCACAGTGGTTCCCAGAGAACCAGTAACGGTCACCACTCCTTAGGTCACCTTCTTCAGTGATTAAAAGAACAGCGTTATGGAACTATGTGATGGATTTTTTTGCCATCTGATGGAACCCATTTAACGAATTGGTGGCTTCATTCCAGTTGCTAGTGTAAAATTGTTGGCAGTCTCCAAGGATGTGCAGACTAATTTCATCCATCAAAAGCAGAAAATATCTTTATCCGGAAAAAACTGCTTTTTTTCCCCTTTGGAAAAATGTAAATACACAGGACAAAATATGCAGCAGTTCATAGCAAGTTATGCATTCCTCTGCAGTGTGTAACCTGTTCTCAAAGAGGTGGTCTGGATCAATTTGTGAATATTTGGGAGGAAAAGCTGGATTTGGAGAAACTCTGAAATATGTTGTTTCTTCTTCTGTGAAACACTCCATTACAAAAAAAAAGCCAAAAGACTGTAAATAAGAATATGAGCTGAATTTATTTTTTTCCCATTGATATCCAGCTATGATGGATAACACAGGAGGTGAATAACTGCAGATCCTGTGTCTCAAAGATAGCCAATCGATGTGTACAAGGTTGGGTCCCAGAAAGTGAAGCAGGAAAGATGAATACAACAGAAGGTTTATGTCAGTGTAAGTATAGGCCCTACATAAAGCCACAGGAAAACTGGACTGTTTTTTGCTGTACTTTTTGCTTTGGGCTTGGCTATGTTTCCATGGGGCTGTTTCCATTCCTCATCCTTTGTCTTGGAATAGGGGCTTCTTTAGGGAAGGAGGAATTTACCTAGGAATAACTGAAAGTCGCTGATACATTTTGAGATCAGTATAAGTCAGGATAGCTGTTAACACGACCTTAATTAACATTTCCTGTAGCAAAACACCTCTAACTGCTCCTCTGGCCTCTATCTCATGCTTTAGCATTAAAAGTTGCTCCCCTGCTTTGGGGTAACAGATGGTATCTATCAAGTAGCTGAAATCTCAGTGAGTATCCCTGGGACCGAGGAGGAGATCTCAAGCATTAAACACCCAGGTTCCTCTAGTGCCACATCCCTTAAAGCAGTGCTGTAATATCCCAGGTGCTCTGCACGCTGGGAACAAAGCAGAACCTCAAAGACACCCTCAACAGTTGGCTATTGTGTAAATAATGCAAAAGTATTGTGTCTTGGTCTCCACAAGACCCTCATGGACTTATTCAAACAATACCTCACTGATGAGACCTTTTTTCCCCTTATAAGCAGCACAGGATGAGTCAGTGATTCTCTCCCATGCCAGGGGACATCTGTCCTCAGAAGCCAGTGGATATGTATACACAAAAATATGTGTCACAGGTTGCATATATGGAAACCCCATTTACACACCTGCAAGCAAGAATGCGCGTAGCAAGAAAGGAAAGAATTGATTCATGCTTGATCCTTTTCTGTGGATGCAAAGATTTAAGAGGTGCATATAAATTTAAAGACCTCTTTAAAATTTGCATTGGACTGCAGTCCAAAAAAACAAGGTTGTTTTTTTTTCTGTATTTGTAAACCTCTCCCTCTATTTGCTAAGTATCTTTGCACTTTCTGGACAGCTTCAGTAGTTATATTCTTAGCAGTCTTACTGTATGGCTCGCAGGAGGGAAAAAGGATATTTCAGAAACTTCCACTTCTGGGTTACTCCAGCCATAGCAGGTTGGTTTTGCAGCTTGTGTTGCTGGATGCAGGAAATTGCTTTTGGAGGCAACTGAGTTGAACTGAGTGGTCTTATTCCCAGCTGCCTTACTTTAGCTTTACTCCAGCACAACTACTTCAACAGGGGACATAAACCAGGCTTTGAAGTCATTTTGCTAAGAGCAGTCAGGCTCAGCTTGTCATTTTACTGGTGGCTCCACACAAAGCCCGTGTGTTTGTAAAGTGTTTCAAAATTGATTGCCACAGCAGCCTACATGAAAGCATCTGTATCACACGTGAGTTTATATTTGAAATCTAGAAAAATGGAGAATATGATGGTTTTCTGGAGAAGGAAGTTGATCTTATCACTTAAAGTGGTGTATTTCACAAGGTGTTGCTGTCGTTTTTATCTCATCCAACAGTATTGAAAATAGCATTCTTTAATGCTGGATTCAATTCTTGTGCTGTTTATTACATGGATATATTATATATCTAGAGCTAGAGGAAACTACCCTTTTCAGTTGCTTATAGCTTTTGCAAATAGTTTTCAGGCTGAACGTTTGATGCTGGAATTCAGCCCAGAGAGAAATTTATCAGCAAGTTTTATCAGACTTTGTTGCAATACCTTTGACTTCTGAGAGAACAGGTAAGTGTATTTGCCTTATCCTCTCCAATCAGAAATGCTGCACACTCATGGCTCAGCTTGAGAGCAGAATTCGGTCATTGGCACTCTAGGTTGTC